AAAAAAAAGAGTACCGCAAGGGTACGCGTTTTGGGCAATTCTGAATCAATTAAGATGATAATTTCAGAAAAGGGAATTGACTAATGAGATACCTAAGAGAAATGGGTTGAATATGAAAAATTTGACCCAGGGTGCTCGGCAGTCCAGAAAATTAGTATAGAACCTGTACTGATTGTAAAATTATTAGTACCGGAAAGAGACTCATTTTGAGAAACGAAAAGTTCGGTCTCGACAAGAGAAATATGGGGAACATAGAACCACTCAAATAAAGTGTTAAACTTAAGTAGAACTAGTAAAATTAAATTATGAAAATTAATTTAATTTCTTTAATTTAATTTAAAAAGTAATATTAGATATTATTGAAAATAATATTATATAATATTAATTAATCTCTTAAAGAGTTCCACGGAGATACTAGAAGACACTCTTGTTTTCTTTGCCTTGCCGACCAAGAAGAAAGAAAAAAAAAAGTAAAAAGTAAAAAGAATTGTTGTTACCGTGAGGTGGAGGTGGATATATACCAACAACACCACCTGTCATTATGTACGCTTGGCTGGAGGATGACTCACGTTGGTAACTTACCTTGTAAAACTACCTAAGTGTACTAAGGCTATTTCTCACGTTGAAGAACAACAAAAACTTGCTAATGCCAACGTGAAGCATAACAGAGGAAAGTTTTGGGAAAAAAAACGTGAGAAAGTGACGAAGAAAAAAAAAACAGAGAGTTGTTAGAGAGAGACAGAGAAAGGAAAATTAAGCATTTTCATTGAGATTTCTTCCGTTCAGTTCGGTAGAAACGTAACCTGAGGCATTCTAGCGGAGAAACCTCAACTTCTGGAGGGCCGATTAACGGTTGAAGTTGGAAAGCGTCAAGGGAGACAAAGGACGCGTTGTTAGCGAAACTTTTGTAAGTACCAGTAGTTTGTTTTTGTCTATGACACGAACGAACTTATTCTTCTGTGTTGCACAGAATTGTGCATATTACATGCTCAATGAATGTTAGAATAAGAATGATGTTTCTTGAATAATGTATGATGCTATGAATGATTCAAGATGTATGATGTTATGAATGTTTTAAGATATACGGTGATATAAATGTACTTATGGACCGTAAATAGTAGTAGAAATTTACTCTACGAAAAGTATGAGATTAAGTCAAAGTCAATTTCATAGAAAATTGATGGAAATGCGTTAAAACACAAAATAAGATTGAAATTACTGTCATGCTGAGAAAAAATGATAGTGAAATGACGTATAAAGAAATCATGATGAATTGCTAAAAGTAGACTAGGAGATGTTAATTATGATACTTTGCATAGATTAATTAACTTGGATCACATACCCACATTTCATATCGATTCAAAACGTAAATGTGAAATTTGTGTAGAGGCAAAACTAACAAGGTCATCATTTCAAACGATAGAAAGGAATACTGAGCCACTTGATCTAATACATAGTGATGTTTGTGAC